CCCGCCCCCGCCCCCGCCCCAATGAGCTCCTCATTGGTCTTCTAGATTCCAGTGTTTCCCCATTCTCATCCACTTTTCAACTTCTCATAAGAAACATCATCTTTCTGAAGTACCATCCTAATCACATCTTTCAGCTACCTTATGCCAATGAAGGATACATTCCCTAAAGCAGTGGGTTTTTGTTTGTTTCTGTTTTACCCTCTTTTGCCCCTGGACCTTTGAAAACTCTGCACCCTCACCTTAAAGAGATGAAGACAAGGTCATAACTCAACCTGCCACACTCGGGGCTCCGCTCCCCCTGAAGCCCATCTCATGGATGCCCAGGAATTCACGGAGCCCACAAAGCCCTCAGACTCCTCAGTCCTTTACATAAGGCTCTTCACCTTCCTGTCCAGCCTTATTTCCCACACATCCCACTACACACCCACCTCCATCACAGGGGACCACGCTCCAGTCCTGGCATACAGAGCTTCATTTGCTCTGACACTGTTTCCATCAGCCACTTCCAATGGCCCTTGTCTCTGAAACCTCCCTTTTCCTTCCAGAATGAAATGCTATCTATCTCCCTTTCCTTACATAACAACCTTCTGCAGCAGTGACACACTGTCTTTCTCTAGGTACGTTACCTGCCTTAGCTGGCACACACGAGATCATATTTAGATTCGCTTCTCTGCTCCCTGCCCGCTGCATGTGCAGCTGCTGTTCAACAACTGCTTGTTTACTCGAGGATGGCTCCCATCTCCCTTGTCTATGGCAACTACACGCCTGACAGTTTGTTACATTAGTCATTATTTGAGCTTTCCTGAAGTTTATTTGTTCACCTTTTCCCTCTTTGCTGATTTTCGTTTGAATTATTTAAACTCATCTCAAAAAGTCCTTGTAGCTTTTGTTATGCTACAAAGGCTAGATACGACAGAAACAATCAGAGTTAATCCATAAAAGGAGCTATTCCCCAAACAGTAAGGACAAAACATACAAAAGCTACTGCAAATGTGTTCTACTGGAATAAGAATTAAAAGATCAGAAAACTGCAGGTAAGTCTATCTTCATTTGAATGCAAAGTGTACAACTGATATTTTCCATCTCTACCTCATGCAGAAAAGGCAAAACATCCATGCTCAGCATTCATTGCTTGTTAGCTCTAAATAAAGTGAAATTTTTGTTGATTCGCTTTGTTAGCACAGAAAGTTTTACATAAATGTAAAAAACTGAAAGTGTATTTGCCATCTGGAGAATGTGCAAGTACTAACAGTAACAAAGAAGTATTCATTCATATTGCATAGATAATCACATTAAAATAGATTGCATGATGTAAATGTATGAAATCAGTTTTATCTGAATTCCTATCGAAAATTTCAAATTTTATCTTTATGGTAACCCAGTGCCAGTAGTCCCATTGCTACCCTAGAGAAAAATAAAAAAGAAGTTACAGCTAGATAATCAAACACACCAACTTTAAGCCTTAACTTCACTTTTGGTGATTATAAGAAGAGTAAGCATCATTTACACTTGAATGGTTTTCATCTAAGTACATCTTGTTCTTAACGCAGAACTTCCTTTATTATTTGGGGAGGTGTTGTATTCAATTATTTTGTGTGATATTATAGTAAGATTTTACACTTAGAAATTTTATTATGCTGGATCTATTATCAATAGAAATAACCTTATTAATTTAAAAAAAAATTAAGGCCCTGGCCGGTTTGGCTCAGCGGTTAGAGAGTTGGCCTGCGGTCCGGAGAGACCCGGGTTCGGTTCCTGCTAAGGGCACGTACCTTGGTCGCAGTTTGTCCCCGGCCCTGGTTGGGTCATGCGGGTGGCAGCCACTCGATGTGTCCCTTTCACATCGATGTTTCTCTCTCTTTCTCTGTTCCTCTCTCTCCCTCCCACTCTACCTGAACAAAAAAAAAATGGAAAAATGTCCTCGAGTGAGGATAAAAAAAAAAAATTAAGGATGTAGAGCTAACTATAAAACTCTGACTCTACACATTTCTCCAGGTTTCTCATGCCCTTGATCATAAAGCCTGACTGTGTCACTCAAAGAAGTGAGGAGAAGGAAAGAGAATATCAAATTAACTTCTCTTAGGCTTCAAGCACTGGGCTTCAGTTTATCCTTGCAACACTCTGAAGCTGATGTTGTAATCCCAGATTTTACACACAGGTAAACTGAGGCTCCACTGTGCAAGGATTCACACGACGAGTGAAGGGGCGTTCCTGGACGGCTCACGCAAGGCTCTCTTGACAGAAGCCTCATTATGTTGGCTGTGGCTGTGGCCCCTTTCTAAGGAGTTATCTGTATGTGGCCATATTTTCTACCAAATAACCCCGTCACTCTGGCCACAGCGAACTGGACAAGTGATTGGTGCTGGGCTCAAAGCTGACTGCCCATGAGGCGGCCTTCTGTGAAGCGGCGGCTGGCCAAATGAGCGTGACCCTCCCTTGCAAGACAGAGAAAAGGCGCAGCAGCACCAAGACACGCGGTGAAAAGGCCGTGAGGAGCAGCCACGACACAATGTCTCAGCACGTATCAGAGGTATGTACCAGTTATGGGCTGGAGGAGAGAGGAGTCCTACTAGGAAGGTTTGGCAGGCAGATGCTTCTGAACAGAGTTTAGTTAGTTAGTACTCACAAAGCACTAATTAAGAAAATGGCAACTAAACCAAAAACAGAAAGAGTTCCTAAAAACTTTAAGCCTTGGATATGTGAATTATGAAAATAAAATTATTGTAATCAATCTTTCAACAGATCATTACTCAGTGGTTTCAGTTCTGCGCAGACAAAAACATTCATTTCTAGAAAACCAAGGCTGCAATAACAAAGTAAGGAGACAGTAAGATTAGAGAATCTAGTGAGGATTTTTTTTTTAAATAGAAATACCCAGGTCCCATGTCAGATCAATAAAGTCAGAAACTTAGGGTTCGGGGTCCAAGAACTATAAAAGCTCCCCAGGCCCTGTGCGGCCAGAAGTGACATTTACTAATCTAGATCAGTGGGTCTCAAACTGTGGCCCAAGGGTCACTAGCATCAAAGTCACCTGGGAACCAGTTAGAAATGATAACTCCAGATCTACCGAATCTGCAACTCTGAGTGGGGCTTAGCAGTCTGTGTTTATAAGACTGCCTAGGTGATTTTGACACATGCCAATGTTTAGAACCGTGGCCTTAGATGACATTAAAAGGTAAATCTTTATTTTATTATAAATATGTAATATCTATGAACTACAAATGGAAAATAATTCTACAAATATGGCAGACAGAAAGCTGATTTCCTCAGTAAAAAAAAAAACTCAGGTAAAGATATGAAAAACACACTTAGGTACTGAGGATATTACACCACAATGATGAACAAGTAATTCAAAGAGGTGTTTTATTTAGATTTTTAATTATATAAAACTCCAGATGTAAACTTATTTGTATAAAGTATATTTAAAATGCGGGGAGAGGGGAGGACATACAAAGGAAAAATAATGCCAAAATAATAGCCATGTGGTTTCTAAGTGATTATAATGTTTTTAAATAGTGATAATGTATTATCTTTATAATTATAAAAATATATATTTAAAATACAAAATCTTGATCCTACCTTATACTACACACAAAAGTTAAAAACAAAATTGTAAAAATTATTAGAAGGAAATAAAGGAGAGTATTTGTATGGTGCGGGGGTACAGACAGCTTTCACACAAAAAGCAAAAACCTTAAAGTGATGGATATACTTGAAAATATCATGATTTTAAACTGCTATAAAATAAACTTCATAAACAAAATGAAAAAACCCAGGGACTGTAGAAGATATTATAACACACACAGCAGACAACAGGTCACTCCCAGAACATCTATTGAAAAGCTCCTACTGATCAATACAAAAGTCTAGTTAAGCAACAAAGAACCAATAAAGTATGTGACTAAGAGAAAATTCAAAACCACTCAAACACATCACAAGTTACTTAAACCCACTAGTAATGAGGAAAGTAAAGGATGAAACAGTAAGATATAATTTTTATCTATCCGATAAGCAAAATTTAAAATATCCATCAATATCAAAGTGGCACTTTCATGCTTTGGTGCCGGGGGTATAAACTGGTACAGCTGCTTTGGCACACAGCCAAGCCAGCCTACCCAGCCATTCCACTTCTGGATATGAACCCTCAAGCACATATACACATATGCACAGAGAAATATGCATTCTGTTGTTCCTTACAGCATTGCTCTGTGATAGCAAAAATAGGGGAAACCACCTAAATTTTCATCATCAGGGAAAAAGGTAAATGAAATCTGGTACATGTATTCAAAGACACACTATACACCAGTTAAGGGAAATAAATAGATCTACAAGTATCCACATAGATAGTTCTCAAAAATCATTAAGTTAAAAAAAGCAATTTACACACAATGAAATGTAATTTAAGGCCATGTATATAAACACTTAAAACATTTGAAACATTTTAATTTTCTATTCAGCCATCTAGCTATATAAAAAGTGATTTTAGCCTTGGCTGGTGAGGCTCAGTTGGCTGGAGCGTCATTCTGTAAACAGAAAAGTCTCAGGTTCGATTCCTGGTCAGGACACATAATACCTAGTTAGGTTTGCAGGTTTGATGCCCAATCGGGGCCCGCCCAGTCTGGGTGCATACAGGAGGCAACCGATTGATGTTTCTCTCTCTCTCTCTCTTTCTCTCTCTCTCTCACTCTCCCTTCATCTCTCTCTAAAATCAATAAGCATATCCTTGGATGAAGATTTTTTAAAGTGATTTTAACATAAACTGTAAGAATATACATTAAAGTCACAACAGAGGTTACTTCTGGGGAAGGGATAAGCTTTTCAATCTCCCTCCATCACCAAAATAATCCTTTGCAAAAAAAAAATAATCAAATAACGTGCTACATAGCATGGGCATTAGTACCCATAGTAATGCTCTGAGCCTGGTGTGCTCAAATCATGTGATTTTTATTATTTTATTATAATACCAGCAAACAGTTAAGTCAAAATTAGATGACACTTACGCATGTAAGGTAGTTTTTCTGGGCAGGGGAGGTATGGTGAATACGTGAAGTTTTCCGGAAGATACGTTGTTGTTTGAACAAGGTAATCACTTGAATTACTGCCTTCAGGATAATCTTGAAGAGAGAGAAAAAAGTTATAACCAAAAAATTGCCTTTTGCTTTAAAATATGTCACTGTCACTGTGAGAAGATCTCCAATATGCAATCTACACAAGTGGTTAAAAGGAATTAACTATAATGAACCAGCAAAAGCAAAATGCAGTTGCCATGGCTACTCTCCCATGTATCATTCACTGCCGACAGAATGGACCTCTCAGCAAGATTTCCCAAGGGAACCCAGCGACGAGTCCAGAGCGCAGCTGACCCGATCCATGCATACGTACATAGCAGGCCCATTTGCGACCACACGAGAACACCTGCTCCCATCCCTCCCCTTGCTGACCCGGAGGGAAAGGGCCAATGACAGTACATTAAGGGCTCAAGGAATCCTCTTCACTACAATAGCCAAGGGTGTTCAGGACGAGGCCACAGAGACAAAGCACTACACTACTGCCACAAAGCACAGGGGTGGGAGTGATGCTTTCTCACCACCCACACTTAGGAAACAAATTTACCCACTCAACTTACTTCTGTAACACAGCTCATTTTAAATATTTAAATTAGTCCCTTCCAACCCGTGGGCTGCACTTCCTGAGGAGCCTGGGAGCTGGTATTACATTAGGCCCGGTATCTTTAGATTCAGCATGCTATAAAGCACAGAGGGAACTGGTCTGAGAGCCCCAAAGTTAAATGCTGAGTTTAAATCCTTGCTCCCAACACACACGCTAACTTTGTGGTACAGGGTAAGATAACAAGGTTTCTCATCTGTGCCCATTTCCTGTTGTCATTTTCCGACTTCAGTAAGATAAATGTATCAAGTGTTTAGAGCAAGCCCTGGCCTATATACACATTCAATAACTGTAGCTATGAGCAACTGGTTTAGAGATGAGCACCTGACCCAATCTGGGGCAGGCGGAGCCTTAGGAGCTTGTACATAGAGCCAGAGAGATCACGTTTCGTCCCTTTCTGGAACAAAGGTCTGACCTGCCAGTTTCCTGCCCTGTAAGAGGAAGCCGGTCTAAGAGGATGAGACTAGCATGCAGTGAGAGATGAGAGAGGGAAAAGGCTGATGGAACTACTTTCTGCCTCCTGGGCCCACAGAAAATGAAGCTCTAGCAGACACTTCTGGAAGACGTGAAGACGTAAAGATCTTCGGATCTTTAGTAATCTGCTCTGATGAGAGTGAGATTCCTATTCAAACTGGCCTGCGTGAAAAGAGATGGGAAAGAGAACAGGCATCTGACTTCAAAGAAAGGCCTGTCTGTCAGGGACCATTAAGCAAAAAAAGTTGAAGGTCAAAATCATATGCCTTATTGAAAGGTCCAACCCCTTTCACTGTGGAAAAATAAAATCCTGGAAATTGAATACAAAGTACGTATGTGAGAAGAGTCCAAGAAAACTAAGCACCTCTCTGTATACCTTTACCTGACATAAATATTCATTTATCATCCAAATGGAGTTAAAGGGGATGCAGACTGGGAGCCAGAATGGCACTCGGAGCAGAGACTCCACCCACCACCAGGTCCACCTGCTGGAAGGGGCCCTGCAGAGGCTGCTAAACAGAGGTTTATGGGGATCTGGTACCAAGGAAGAGACAGAAGCTGGAGGAGAAGTTCCAATTTTCAAGGACTGCATGGAAATCCCAGTTAGGAATTTGGCAGGGCATCAGTAACTGTGTCGCCAGAAAATCCAAACATGACAAACAGGGACTGAGGATGGAACAACTGCTAAGGCCTATTCCACCAGGAAGTGGAAAAGCCCCAGGGAGAGAATCCTGGAAAGCATCTGAGGAAAATCCTCCAAGCCAGAGGGGAGAGGGATTCGGTGCACATTAACTGTTTTGTGTGCCAGGGACAGACTGAAACCACAGAAACCCCTCCAGTTGCCCATAATCCGTATCTCACCCTCAGATAACGGAAAAATTTACAGATATTAAATGTAAATAAATATAAGGAAGTCCAATAATGTTCTGATTCTTTCCTTAAAATGCTTTAAAAAAATGTATCTAGACAGATACAAAATGTAAAGTTATATTCCAAAAATAATTTTTCCTTTTCTAGGGATTTTTGCTATGCTAGCTAAGCATCTGCTACACACTATGCATTTGCAGGAGCTGAAAACAGAAGATAAATAAGGTTGTCCTTGGAGTCCACTGCCTTTCTGTGTTCCAAAGACTCATTTCCTTGTCATCCTGAGGCAGATAAATATTACCAGTCTCAAACAATCCTTAGTGTCATGAGTTAACTTTAAGGAAGGGTATTTTCTTATTCTGCGTAACTAATTCTCGTCATTACTGCTTGGGACCCCTTAGCCACACACTATGATTCTGTAAATCCACATCCAACTCACAGAAAATGTAAGCTCTCTAGATGGCTCTGCAAAACAAACTGTTAATGCTAGCTCCCCTTGGGGAGTCTGGTGGCAACAGGAGGGCCAGAGGATTAGCTCACTTTTTATTTTAGTGCAAGAATGACTAAATCTTTCACAAAAGAACCCATGCATCCTTTTTATCAGTTTTCAAAGAACCATGTTAAAAAAAAAAAACACATGCAATGGCAGTATATGCACATCCCTTAAATACAAAGTTTTGGAGCGATAAGTGTTATTCTTTGCCAACATCATTATAAATGATCAAAAGAATCTCAGCTCATTGCCAGACTTATGAAAGCATCCAAATGTCCAGTGGCATTTATGTCATCCCAATGTGTTATGTATATAACTCTAACCACCCCCTGCCACTAGACTGAATATCTTTTTCGAAATTAAACTGCCCCTGATTTAAGGTATTTGATAAAGTATCTACAACATAGTAGAAACTTACTGCAAATGAACACTTCACAACTGATAATAGAGCCAACAATGATTTAAGGTTTGGGGGACTATACTGTAATAAACCCACAAAGTCATTATTCCTACAAAGTGGTTAGGTCCATCAAGCATAACCACTGCTTTCAAAACTGGGAGCAGTTTTTAAAAGGTATGCATAGTACATGCATTTGAGTCCACCACAATAGCTCTAAAGTGTAGACATTATTTCATCTAATGAATGGATGGATACACACACAGTGACTTCTGGGCCCCTTGCCTTTTTCCTGCCTCCCTGAGCCACACCCAGAGGCAAGGGAAGCACAGAATGAAAACTGCTCACATGTCCCCTCCCCAGCTCACAGTGGACCTTAAGAGAAAAGGAGAGCAAGACCAAAGGAGACCTCTCAAGGACTGTTTTTCCTGCAAAAGGGCAGGTTAAACCAGTAATAGAAACTCAGTGAGAGTTCTAATCTGTTTGCCACTGGCTTGTCTTGTCAGTCCGGCAGGGTGTAAAGGCCTCAGAACATACATCCATAAAATAAAGAAGTGTGCTGGTTATTTCTAAGAAGCCTACCAGCTCTAACATTGCATGACCCTTATCATCTGCTTTGGTAGTTACTCACTGAGTACATCTTGTTTTCTTAATTTGACTGACTCCACAGCTACATGCGAGTATGTGATTTCTTTACGAAAATACTTTACATAAAACCTATTTACATTTGATGCTTCAATAAGTCAGGTACAGGGTTTAAAAACCCCTTTTTGAAATCAAAGATACTTATAAATTACACAACCTATTTGCCATTAAATATTAAATTTTATTTTTTATAATATATTTTTATTAACATATAGCATTGCATTGCTTTAAGGTGAACAACATAATGATTTGATATGTGTATATGTTGCAAAATGATTACAAGTTTAGTTACCATCCATCACCTGACATAGTTGCAAATTTTTGTCTTGTGATGAGAACTTTTAAGACTAAGCTAAGTATTAAATTTTATATACTTTTTTAATGTTTTATTGATTTTTTTAGAGAAAGAGAAAGGGAGAGATAGAAACATCGATGTGAGAGAGAAACATCAATCAGCTGCCTCCTACACACACCTACTGGGGATCAAGCCCACAACCCAGGCATGTGCCCTGACCAGGAATGGAATCAGAACTTCTCAGTCCATGGGACTGGTGCTCAATCCACTGAGCCACACCAGCCGGTCCTAAGCATTACATTTTAAATGAGCCAGTACATGTTAACCAATTCTCCCCTAAAATTCAGTTTGCTCTCTGCCATCTTACAGATCATTTTTGTATAAGTTTGCACAGAAATAAACAATTGCACTATACAGCCGTCCCTCTCCACTTCACATTTCCACTTTCACAGCTTCATTCTATCGCAGTTTTTTTAAATACTATACTATACTAAACTATACTGGAAAAACCACGATAGAGTGAAGCCATGAGAGTGGAAGCATGAAGTGGCGAGCGACGGCTGTATATAAAGAAAGAATCCTACTTCACAGAAATCCATTTATCGCGGTAGAGTCTGGAACTGATTAGCTGCGAAAAACGAGGGCCGACTGTAAATATGTCCCCATCTGTCCCAGAAGCCTCACATAAAGGGAGGATGTTTTTGTTAATGTTGTAACCCCTATTATCTAGGTAAGCATACGACCTATACTAATTGTCCAATATAAAGGAAAATGGCAGAGCCTCATAGATGCCTACTCAAACTCCCTTTCCCCTTTCTCCCTAGGTAACAGAACCCAAATTTCATTCAGAGCACCAGTGAGCCAGCTCAAAGATTGCAATTCCCAGGGCTCTCATGACTAAGTTCTGGCCAGTGAGATGTAAGCAGAAATATCAGAAGTGTGGGACTTCCTGGAAGGCTCCTTCAAAGGGACGGTCTATTTGTTCTTCTTTTCTTCCCTTATCCTTTCCTCCTTCTCACTGATGCAAGTACCAACACAAAGCCTGGAGCCCTGGCAGCCATCACAGACTGTGAAGCTACACGACAGGGCAGAAGATGGAAAGCATGCAAAGATTTTCTCCACAGAGCTCCAGATACCCAATTTCCAAACTTCTTTTATATAAGAACATAACCCTCGTGTGTTTAAAGCACTGCAGTTGGGTCTCTCTTACAACCAAATCCAATTCCTAACCGATATGATGAACTGTCTCCTGAGAACAGGTTACCACCAATAAAGGTACCGTCTGAAAAGTTTTCAAAGGTTCATAAAAGAAAGCAAAATTTGCCCTGGCCAGTGTGGCTCAGTTGGTTGGGCGCTGTCCTGCACACCAAAAGGTTGTTGGCTTGATTCCTGGTCAAGGCACATACCCAGGTTGTGAGTTCCATCCCTGGTCTGAGAACATACGGGAAGCAACAGATTACTGTTTCTCTCTTTCCCTTCGCCTCTCTCTAAAAATCAATGAACATGTCTGCAGTTGAGAATTAAAAGAAAAAAGTAAGCAAAATTTAATCAAAGTATGCATTGGCTATTCAGTATTTATTGAAACTATGACTTGGTGAGAAGAGGAGAGGATTTCCGTGTTTTTGTTTGTTTATTAATTTGTTTGTTTACCGGTTTTAGGTGGTTGAGGGGAAAGTTCATCTTTCCCAAGCAATCCGTTCTCCTAATTGTGCTTAACATTCACACACATAACTAACTCATGCCCCAGGAAAAGAACTAGACTATACACAGATTTTTAGTATTCACTTATACAAGCCCCATTATCTAGAGATGCTTAATATCTCTGCTAATGAACACCTTCACAATCAACTTATTCAACCAGGGTAAGTCCTAAAGAAGCTTTTAAAATGTCTAAACTTCTCCTAAAATTGGCCTATTTTTCAGAAGACCAATTAATAAAGACCAGTCAATGAGACTTTCACTGTACTAATAAAATATCAACTACAATGAGACAGCCTTTCTAAAAGCAAGTAAAGAGAAAACAATTAAATGATCATAACACAAATTTGGCAAATGACTAGAAATGAATTTCATAGAAGCACGTGTGAAACTACATTAAGAATCTGTATTTTACAGTCTTGAATTTTTAGAAAAGTCTAAAACTATTACCCATCTTAACATGCATTTTAAGAAAAAAACACCTGTGGTTGGGCTATAGGAATGTCCTATTTATTAGTGTAGTATGTTCGTTATTATTTACAGTGGTAAATGAAGAACTACTGACACAAATTAAATCTTTAATTTTAACTGTTTAAAATGAGAATACAGAGGATGCAACAACTGACAACCAGCCATTGAACCTTTTAAAGTAACACCTCCTAATTCTCAGAAGACAACACGGAAACACTGCCGCAGAGGAACATCGGCATTCTCCATGAGAGATGAAGCCATTTACATCCATTTCCCCAGCATTAAATTTGGCCTATTACTTATATTTTAACCTTATGTGGTTCTAATGAGCATTCTTCCAAAAAATATTTTTAAAAGCCAAGAGCAGCTACTGATTTCCAAATTTGTACAATTTCTCCTTTAGCCCCTAAAACGTTCATAAAATTATTAAGAACCATCAATAGTTAAAAAACAATAAGTATTTTCTAGACATAGTTGAAAAAAACATCTTAGGAATGAGAATGAGCACAAAGAAAGGGTGCAGAATAGCTACTAAGAATAAATTAGTTTTTGTAGTTAATTTCTCTTAAATGCAATAGAATTTTTAAAAAGTACAAGCTGCTTTTCTGTCTTGTTAATTTATGTTTGCAAGAATTAACTTAGGTATCTTTGTACAAAACCCTCGCCACCTTTATATAGGTATGGGACCATACCTTTATAGATCCTGGAATAGAATATTTGACAGTCCTGGCTCAAGCAGGAAAAGAATTTTCCAGTACACTGAGTAGTACACTCACCTTTAACCGGAAGTTACTTGGAGGCAAAACCAGAGCTTGAGAGATGTGGTTACTGCTTTGCAACTACAAGGATAAGGAGTAGAAGCGAAGCAAGATGAAGCAGGAAGCCATCTTACCTGTCCCGTTGAATGTGGTGTTTTTATTTGTATAAAGCCTGATCATGTGTCCTATTGTTTTCACATTTTCTTTCAACATTATTCCTCGAGCTTGTACCATAAAGAGATATGTGTTGGCTATAAAAAGAGGGGGGGAAAGAGAGAGAGAAAATCATGACTCAGTAAGCTTTCTTTTTAAATTTAATAAAATATTCAGAATTGGGGAACTGCCCAATAAACCCAAACTGACTTACTTAGCATGTCCAAGGGGAAAACAGATACATAAAATGACTGTTTCTCATGATCAAAAACTTACCAAAGACTGCTTTTTAAAAATGAAAAAAATTAAGTAGTGCTAGCCATCAAATAAAATAAGACTAAATGAACAAATGGAAACATTGTAATACCCATAAATTATTTTCTACTGTAAAATATACAAAGAAATTTCAAAAAGGCACTTTATTACAAGTATGCAATCATATAGTTATAAAACGTACTTTTTCAAATTCTATATGAATTCCCTCAAATCAGAAATGCCACAAAGGCAAGGACTCCCTATCTATTTGTAAGTATATCATAAATCATCGTAATATCTACTATGGATATGGAGCTTGCGAATGCTCAATGCATTGGGACTGCACAGGGCAGGATTATCTAGAATCAATATCTATTTTGATGATTTCTCTCTACAGTTAATTACTTGAACTTCTACAGTCTCAGTGAATCACAGATCTATCTACCAGGATTGTAAAAGCAGACAAAAATCAAAATCAATGTGCATTTTCAAAGTTGGTCAATTTAATTCTTTGTGGTAAGTGCTTTAAAAATAGGTCCCTAATTTCTTCCTTTGGGAGAAACTGGTAAATTGACAAAGATTACAAAAAATCCCTGCCTTTTGAGATGCCACATCTCCTCAGAGAGGCACAGGGAGTGAAGTCAAAAGGTCCTTTCTCTCCTGGTCCTGGTCCTGCTGGTGCAGTGCATACCTTCGGACGGCTCGCGGGATCTCAGTTTCCTCATCTAAAACAGGCACTATTGCCCCAGCCGGTTTGGCTCAGCGGTTAGAGCGTCGGCCTGCGGTCCAGAGAGGCCTGGATTCAGTTCCCACTAAGGGCACGTACCTCAGTTGCAGTTTGTCCCCGGCCCTGGTCGGGTTGTGCAGGAGGCAGCCACTCGATGTGTCCCTCTCAGGTCGATGTTTCTCTCTCTCTCTTCCTCTCTCTCTCCCTCCCACTCTGTCTGAACAAAAAATGGAAGAATGTCCTCGGGTAAGGATAAAAAAATAAAAAATAAAACAGGCACTATTTCCCTAGATGTTCTCTGAAGCCCCTTCTACTCTACATGCCTCAAGCACAAATCCCCCACATCATAAAGTCCAATCAGAAAAGAGAAGGAGGCTCATTGTCATAGGAAAACCAAGAAAGTGCAAGGCTCAGTTCATGACTCTTTCCATTTGAAGATTAGCTGCCTCTGAACACAATCACGACATCCTTGAAGAAAAATAAATACCAAATGGAAAAAACTGAAATTGCCAACTAAGTTTCTGGGCCCTATTCTACTTCCTCAAGGTAGTGTGGACAGAGGACCTCAACATGTTGTTTACTACCTCCTTCCCCACTTTTTATATAAAACTGAACCTGCTCAAAGTATAAATGGGCAGAGAATAAGTGAAACTAGTACAGAAACAGTAAAATAACAACTTTTCCTTTCACCTCCGATTCATAAAAGAGAAGCAGAAATCCAGGTTTCACATAAGCTTTACCTCAATCATGTTTAAGAGCATGTCTATATCCTCTCTAGAAAGCTGTCCTATAATTAGATTTGACTAGTTTAGGCTTGAATTTATTACACTGGGTTATAAACACCACATGTTTTTATTACGTGAACTTGAGTGAACTTTAAAAGAAAAAGAGAAAGTGAAAAGCAAAGACAGACAGAATAACCAACCAAAAATGTGAGAAAATGTTCAATAAAAGCCAAACTAACCCTAGCAATTCTACCTAAACCAAGATCTCAAGTTCAACTGAAATGATGCAGGAAAAAAACATCGAACAGATGACTAACACCAATGTATATACAACACCTAGGATCATGTAATCCCAGAGGTGTACATGAAACTTGTTATCAGTGATGTAAATATCTTTCAATATTTGTTCTGCACCAAACTGCACAAAGACCAGTCACGACTGAGCCAGGGGTTAAGCACGGCCAGTATTGTTTCCCAGACTTCAGCAAACAGTACTGGCCTACACAAGGATATGCTAGGTAAGAACAGCATGCATTATTGTGTGACCTGGAAACAGGATTTTTAGAAACTATACAGCTTTTACTTTTAATTAACATACCTATTTACATAAAGAAACATGTCTGACATCTCAAAACCAAGTCAAATTTAAGAAGCAAGGAAAAGATCTTGGGTAGAAAAGAACAGTCAAATTTTCCTAGAAACTTTCAAAATACCAAGTAACAGCCCTGGCTGGTTTGGTTCAGTGGTTAGAGGGTCAGCCCACAGACCGATGAGTCACGGGTTCAATTCCAGTCAAGGGCATGTGCCTCGGTTGTGATTCATCCCCGGCCCTGGTCGGGGTCATGTGGGAGGCAGCCAATCGATGTGTCCCTCTCACATCAATATTTCTCTCTCTCTCACACACACACACTCTATCTGAAGATAAATGGAAAAATATCCTCGGATGAGGATAGAAAAAACACACACACAAAATACCAGGAAACAAAAATGTTTAAGAAAATAAAATGGTCAATGATGACACCTGTGACAAAGGTGACCCATTCACAATATAATGCATTTACTATTCATTAGATCTATGTGAGAAAAAATAAAGACACCAACCTCTCCAAATGGAAAATCTACTAGTTTATTTTAAATCATGTACAGCTAATTGAATTACATTCCTCAGGTTAATGATCCTGAAGATCAAAACCCACTAGGAAATAAAGCTGTGGTTAAATAGAGTCCTGCTAACAGGAAGAAAGTGGTGTGACAAAGTGCTGTGAGTCACACCAACCGAGCAGGAAAATGGTTTAAATCGTCTGATTTCCAAACATCATAAACCTAAGTTAACTCACACTCAAGTAACTACGTGCCTAATTATCCTTAATATAAAATACAATGTCTGATTCACAAGCCAGTGAGTTAGAGGAAATCTTGGTCTAAAATTTCTATTCCAACTCACGAGAAACTGCATCTCCAAAACAAATAGACAGATCTTTCCCAGCCTTGCCCTTTGGTCCCAACACAACCAGAAATAACACTAAAAACTACTATTGCTTAATTAAAAGCATGCCGTAGTCTCCAATTTAGTTCATTCACTATTTGCCTTTGCATTATAGACAGAAATTTACCTTATTTACCAGTTCTGCTTTCCAGGGGGAAAAAAAAAAAACTGTGACAACTTTAAAAAAACAAAAATCCTTCAAAAATCAACAGTTTACAACAGCTTCTAGGCATCCTACCCTGGGTTTGTGCAGAAAGAGATTTATGAGCTTGTCTCACTCTCAGCTTAAGAAAACTAAGGAACACATTTGCTGTTACTGTCTCCCCATCCCTTTCCACATCCAACTTTGTTCGGTGAATGCATGGTAAGTACCAAGACAAGGAGAACAGGCCAGTCTGCAGCGATCTGGAAAGGTCCCTGAGCTCTGAGGGGTTCACACACAACGTCCCTCTGATCCCGGTGCCATGCCCCTAAGTGCTAGGACACACAACAGGTCAGTCACATGAAGAGCTTACTTGGGGGTGGCTGTGTGGGCTGGGCATTATAGCACGCAGTTATAGAGTTATAAATGTAGGGCAGGAGCCTAGAAAGAGGGGCTAGAAATACAATTTGGGGAGACACTCATATAAAAGGAACAGTGGGAACTGTGGTGGTGAATTACCACAGGAAAAAATGATCTAGAAAAGAGTAAGAGGTGAAGTTCAGATGCGGAAGTGGAGGCAGACCACACATAGGAGGCACACAGATAAAGGGCCCAAGACAAATTAGTCTGAAGCTGAATGCAGAGAGGAAGGAACGGGGAACAGTCAACCACGTCCAATGCCACAGAGGGGAACAAAGACTTAAAACAATTAACACTCAGTGCATACTCTGCCAGGCACCCTTGAAGAGCTTTTTACATATACTAACCTACTTAAATCTTACAAGCCACCCTGTGAGGTAGGTCCTAGCATTATTCCTGTTTTACAGATGAAAGAATTGAAGCATGGAGTTAGGTAACTTGCTAAAGGTCACACAGTCATTAGCAAGCAGTGGAGCTAGACTTCAAACTCTCACTCCAGCAATCTAGCTCTACCACCATATCATTTAGCCTCTTCAAAATGCTGTTAAAAGATCACTGTCAATCTTTAAGACAGCAATTTCAGGGCCCTGGCTGGGTGGCTCCGGTGGTAGAGCTTCCTCACAACACGGCAAGGTTGTAGGTTCGATCCCTGTTCAGGGCACATACAAGAATCAACCAATGAGCCCTGGGCAGTTTGGCTCAGTGGTTAGAGTGTCGGCCTATGGACCAAAGAGTCTCAGGTTCAATTCCGGTCAAGGGCACGTACCTCGGCTGCGGTTCAGTCTCCAGCCCAGGTCGGGTTGTGTGTAAGGCAACCAATTCATGTGTCTCTTGCATCGATGTTTCCCTCTTTCTCTCTCTCTCTCTCTTTCTCTCTCCCTCCCACTTTATCTGGAGATAAATGGAAGAATATCCTCAGGTGAGGATTTTAAAACATCAACCAATGAATGCACAAGTGGAACAAGTCAATGTCTGTCTCTCTCTCCCTTCCTCTCTCTCTCTAAAATCAGTCAATAAATAAAAAAGAGCAGTTTCATGAAAGTAACGGAACAAAAGGAAAACAGTTAAGTGGATAATGACAATGTGAAAACAGTTAAGTTTCAGAAAAGATAAGAGAGAGCAAGGTCAAGGGAAGTTGTTTTGGAACAGGAGGGACCTGACCATGACTGGCCTGAGGGAGGGAGGAAAGAGTAAATTTAAATTTAAGGCACTAGTCCGGCGGTGTGGCTCAGTGGTTGAGCATCGATCCATACACCAAGAAGTCGCCAGTTCGATTCCCAGTCAGGACACATGCCCAGGTTGTGGGCCTGATCCCCAGTGGGGGGCATGCAGAAGCGACCAAT